CCACTACTGGCTCTCTGCCCTGGAAACGCCTAACACCATTATCCGAACCTGCTTCATCGATTTTTCCAAAGCGTTTGATCGAATTGATCATAACATTCTGATGCGCAAGTTACAGCTTCTCAATGTTCTACCGGTCCTATTAAACTGGTGTTCATGTTTTCTTCAAGGCAGACAGCAGCGCGTCAAATTAAAAACTTGTAAATCTGATTGGAAAGAAATAAAAGCTGGAGTTCCGCAAGGTACCAAACTTGGTCCTCTGTTCTTTCTTATAATGGTCAATGATCTGTCCAGCGAATTGCCTTTGTATAAGTATGTTGACGATTGTGCAATCTCTGAAGTCGTTAGAGTATGTGAACCGGATCTACCAAAATTACAGCAAGAACTTGACAACGTGACCCAGTGGTCAAGTGCGAACAACATGAAGTTGAACGTTAAAAAAACTAAAGATTTCACCGTGTCATTTTTGATCAATCAACCCTTGGCGCAACCCTTGATTGTTAATAACCAATCCCTGGAAGCTGTTAATACCACCAAGCTCCTGGGGGGAAATTTGACCTCCGATCTTAAGTGGACTACACACATCAGGCACATATCCTCCAAAGCAAGCAAACGCCTGTACGCTTTAAGGATATTAAGAAGAAATGGTGTCCAACCGAGTGATCTTAGGACAGTATATTGTAGTTTTATCAGACCTGTCTTGGAATATGCGTGTCCTGTCTGGCATACCTCGTTACCAAAGTTCCTGACTGATGAATTAGAGCACATTCAGAGACGTGCGTTCAAAATTATTGTTCCCCACTTGTCCTACTCCGAAAGCCTCAAAGACCTAAAGTTGCCCACCTCGAGGAGAGAAGGGAATTGTTATGCAGATCTTTTTACAAAAACAATTATAGTGACACTTCGAGCAAAATTTTTAATCTATTACCTGAACCTTTAGATCATCAGTACAATCTTAGACATTCCCGAACTATCTCACTTTTTAAAACCCGAACTAAACGCTATAATGATAGTTTTTTGCCATATTGCGTACGCAAATGGAACTCTTTTTAACCTTTTAGGCTTCTATAGATTAATATATAATTTGTATATTAGCAATCCTACGTTATTGTAATTAGTATTACCAGTGTATCTATAACTTGTATATACGTATTTTGTTCTACTATTTTTAAACTATGTAAACTTGTGTTTTTCAGTTCGATTTTGAACTGCCATTCAAGTGTTTTAATAAATCTAATCTAATCTAATCTAATATTGACCTGTAGAATCCATTTCTGGCATTTCCAGAGTCTCGCGATACAAGCGTCGCATTGTTTTGACGATTTTTCCTCGTATTTCCGCTTTGGATTATTGCAAATTCGGAGCAGAAATGTAATATTCGGCAGTAAAAGTCACACTTTAAAGATATAAGCTTGAAAATAACACTATACATGTTGTTTTTAACTGCTTAATTCATCAGCAGTATCAGAATGAGCATGCGACTCAAGGGGCCAAAGTTATGTTCGGCGAAAAGTATGTCTATGTTTATAATTTGTTAGTAATATTGCGTAATTTGATCATATACGAGCTCGCTTGACTTTCAAAGCTCATAAATCGCTATACAATGTAGCCATTTACTAAAACTATCGTTATAAATTATTATATATTTTTACACTGAATCCAATGGTGGTATTTTTATCTACATAGTGTTTACTGAACCGAAGATATGAATGAAACACACTTAGTACGGGCACATACTAAGTTTAATAGGCCCTGCTTTAAAAGAGCTATTAATTAACCTTCCAGTGAAATTTGCTTTATCTGTTATTAATTTCATTTTGCTGTGAATCTAGGCAAATGAGACTGGAGATAGTATTAACAGCATGGAACTTGAAGGTTGCAAGCGTGGTTTTGGCTACTTGATTTCCGCTGGTCAACATGTTAAAACATTTGTTTCTGTTCGACACCGTAGAATAGGTAAGTGCTTTGCTGAGTGTCATAAGTCTGTCAAACATTATTTTGATGTTTGGCATGTAGAAAAATCCAACACCAAGAAGCTGCTGAAGGCAAGCCAAGATCGAGAGAAGGGTTGTGAACGCATCAAACTGTGGATATAAGCAATAAGACGACATATGTATTGGTGTGCAACATCTACCAAGGAAGGGTTTGGTGACATGATTGTTGCCAAGTGGAAATATCTTATTAGGCATATCTCAAACAGACATGTCGATCATGATGATGCCTTATACAACAATTGTTCACATGGTGAACTTGGTAAAAAGAAATGGATCAAAGTTGGTATGCCAGTCCATATCAATACACCCTTCCAGAAAGTATGTCACTTTGGCTATAGAGCCTCTTTTTCGTGTACGTAACATCAGTTAAAGGCCAAGTCTCAATCACGAAAACGAGGCCCAATAGCCAAAGTGACATACTTTCTGGAAGGTGTATTTTATTCGAGACAACTGGCCAAGCCTGTAAGACCAGGGGCGTAACCATAAATGTAGCAACTGTAGCAAATGCTACAGTCAGATTTTCATGTAAAATTTTTTTTTTACACTGAATGTGGTGATAGTAAAAATTCTTTATAGAAGTTTTCCAGTTTCTCTATCTTAAAAAAATAACCTCCGCAGCTTCGACCAGATGTCCGTACGTATTTCGTGAGTTACGAATATAAAGTTACGTTTTTACGCGCATGTCTTAACCTGATTTTTACCCGAAACAACGCCCGCTTTTAGGGGAATTCACCTAAATTTTTTAAACATTGTTCAAAAAGCGTGCAGAAATGTGGTCTAAATATAGTGATTTATGACATCAAAATGCTACAGTCAACTGGGGGTATGACATCAAAATGCTACAGTCAGGGGGGGGCAGTTAACCAACTCTCCTTCCCTTTGGGATCGCTTTCGCGAGTTACGCCGTAAAATAAAAAGCATGATACGATCAAAGAAGCGTGAATACATTTCCACTTTGGCAAGCTCAGTTAAGAATAAACCGAAAGAATTCTGGAGATTCTTCAAGGCAAAAACTACCGGTTCTTCTCTACCAGACACCTTAACCCACAACGACGATCAGTTCACTACCTCAGAAAGTAAAGATGATGCTTTCAACAAGTACTTTGCATCCACCTTTCATCCTTCTGCGCCTAGTCCATCTAGTGTTGGTTCTAGTATCTGTGATGAAGACACTCTTAAATCCATTTCGGTTTCAACGGAAGAATCTAGCTGTCTACTTTCAAATCTCTCTACAGATAAAGCAACCGGTCGCGATTAGATATCTGCCAGATTGTTGAAAGAGTGTTCGAACGAGATTGCTCCATCCTTAACAGCGCTGTTCAACAAATCACTCACTCTTGGTAAAGTTCCGCAGGAATGGAAGGAAGCTAATGTTGTCCCTGTCCCCAAGAAAGGTGATGTTCACGAGGTCAGTAACTATCGGCCGATTTCCCTGCTGTCACTAGTGTCCAAACTTCTCGAGCAAGTTGTGCATTTGCACGT